GTTCTCCTCTCCCATAGTTTGCAAATGGCACAGGAGAGGGCTGGTGTCTGGCTTTCCCCCAGTCATCCTGCCCCAAATTCCTTTTTACCATTCCTTATTCCTTTTTTCCCTCTCTTCCCATCATCTCTTGATTCTCTTCCCCTTTGAGAACTATTTCCTGACTTCCTATGCTCTAGTTTGTATTGTGCACATTAATTTGACTCTGGGTTTCCCCTTTTGTTTTCAAAACACCACAAACACAGAATTCAAAGGGGAGGGGGAATAATAAGTTTCAAATATACTAGATAAGAAAGAAAGAAACATACCTCAAATGAGACTGGAGATGTCACCACTAGGATAAATCTCTAGACTTTGATCAACACAGCAATAGCTTAACTACTCTCTTATGAGAGGAGTCAGTGTATAGAGGTGAATTATTCTCTCAGTCTGGAAAATAGAAGGTTTAGAGCCAGGCGTGGTGGCTCACACCTGTAATCCCAGCACTCAGGAGACTGAGGTGGGAGGATCGTTGTGAGTTTGAGACCAGCCTGGGCTACAAAGCGAGCTCAAGGGCAGCCTGAACTGCATAGTGAGACCCCGTCTCAAAAAAAAAAAAAAAAAAAAAAAAAAAAAAAAAAAAAAATAGAAGGTTAAAATCTCTGACCAAGAGGTGTTTCTCTATTTTGAGTTGACAGGTTATGCCTCTGCATAATTGGCATAAACTCTGTCAGACTGGCATAGATCAAGTAAAGACAGAGTCTCCTTTTCTCAGTGGGGAAAATTTTCTTTTTCAATGCTGGGAATTGAACACAAGGTCTAGTGCTTCCAAGACAAGTGCTCTAACTTTAACTCAGCCCTCCTCAGTACTGCAGAGTCTTTGCTGTGGTCTTTGACAGCCCTTTGTTTTAGAGTTTATACTAATCACCAAGTTCTGGAAATATAATTTTGTTCTGGGCTAACTGCCCTAGGACCTGAGGATGGAGTGGTTTTCTAAATTTGGGAGCTGTGGAGCCAGTTCTCTGATATCCTTACATGTCTTGTTTCATTGAACTTTTTTTCAAGAGTGGTTTGTGAAAGTTATAATATTAAATAATACATTTTTAAAGAACTGCACTAATTCTGGTAAGGGACAGCTTAAATTATAGCTGCTGAAACAATTATAGCATTATCCGAGATGGAGAACTCCTCTACACAAATCAAACAAGATAAGAAATTGAGGAGGTACAGTTTTTTTTTTTTTTTTAAAAAAACCTTTTATTAGTATATGTTTGCAGCAATAATGATTACATTCATTCTTGGGAATTGGTACATGTACATAACAGATCTCAATTTTTTTTCTCCTGTATCTCCCTTTTATTTTGTCACCATTGGATTCATTTGTTTATAAGTCCTTATAAAGTTAATTATCATGTATACAAATTAATAATCAGACTATTAGGCAAAAAATCAGTTTTGAATTATAATATCTTTAACCTGTAATACTGAAAGGCAAAGTAAACTGATTCTGAACTTTTAATTCCTTTGGGCCAGATTATTTTGAATTACTTTATAATCAGTACTTAATTTTTGGTCTTCAATTGCTCTATGCAAACTGTTAACAAAAGAAGATTTATATTCATCTTCCTATATTGGTCATTTTCTGTTGAGCTATCTTAATATTATTATCACTGTGAAACTCTAATAATTTATGTTAACTAATGAAGCTGCTCAGAATTCTTTATGAGAAACAGAATACGTAGTCAACTTTTAAAATTTGGTAGAAAGTGGCCTTGGACTTAATTTATCTATTGCATTCTAAAGGTGCCTTTAAGAGTTTTCTGGGGGAAAAAAATCAAAACTGCCCACCAGGATCATGATCAAGTTAGTATTAGAAGGCACTTACAAGGCAAGAGCTTGAATCTATACTGGCATACAACTGATGTTGGCTTTACTCAATTCATTTCTTGTGATTTTCCTCACAATTTCCAACTTCCTTGCTTTCCAATATCCTGGGGTCTCTACTGTACTGGTTTCAATTCCACAGTTTCACCCTCTGTCCTCTCAGGAGCATGCTGTCTGGCCTTCCAGATCTCCTTCCATAATCTGAGGAGAAGTGTCCTTGATCCTACAACTCTTGCATTCTGCATGTGTGTAAAACTAGAATGCATAAGTGACACCAAGATCTGTTGCCAGCTAGAAAAGCCTCCAAGCCTTTTTGCATCTTGTTCATGGTTGCAGGAGCATCTAACTGCCTACCTGGCTGGGAAAGGCAAGCTGAATCCTGGAGATCAGCTCCTTAGGCAGCGCTTTTTCAATAGTGCCTGAAAGCTCTCTTCTCAAAACACAGCCTTTAACTTTTTCAATCTTGAGTCTTCAAAGATGGGACCATGATGGTTCCTCAATGCTCTTTAGCCACTTTTCCTGTTGTCCTATTCCAAAGTATTTAGTTTCTTTCTAATGCTAATCTTGTACAGCAATGTTCTCCTCTGTTTTACCTTTGCAGGTGACAACTTTATTGGAGTTTCCTTTCTGGTCAAACTCAAAACTTCTAAAATTACTCAGTTTGCTCTTGATTCTCAGGTGGACATTGGCTAAAAGCTTCCAACAGTGCCCAAACCACAGCCTGAATGTTTAGCTGCCTTACATTTCCCTCCACAAGGTCCATTAGTCCACTTTCTATAATCTCAGGCTCCCAGAAAGTCACTGGCAGGAGTGAAATGCAGGAAAATTTTCTGCCAGAGCACAACACACATGGCCTGGAGCCCATTGCCAATGGAGTCCTTCTTCCCGACTGAAACCTCGAGCCTGGTCTTCACTGGTTGCATCACTGTCAACATCCTGGTCAAAAACTGAACCACGATCTTCCATTAAGCTTGGTTTACTATTCTAGGGTGTTGGCTGGCATCTCCAAATCTTGACAAACTCGTACTGTGAAACAATTCCAAAAGGCTCTGAACCACATAGTGAGGCAGCATCAGAGCAATGAATCCATTTCTCTGGTATCAAAATCTGTTTTAGTTACTTACTTATTGTTGGAACACAATACCCTCCCTGCACCATAACTTAAATAAAGCAATGTTTATTTTGATTGCAAGTTTGTAGAGGTTTCAGTCCATAGTTGACTGGATACAAGACAGCTGGCACGGCAGAAGGGAAGTGCTCATGGGATGGTCAGCACAGAGAGATCAAGGGAAGAAGCTGGGAGATACACCCTCTGGGTCTCACCCTCAATGACCCACCTCTTCCACCAGGCTTGTCTCCCAGTATTACATTTAACCATAAACCTACTGGTGGACTAATTCACTGATAAGCCTTATACCGCCATGATCCAATCACCTCCCCAAAACCCCACCTATGGCTGAATGACCCCACCTATGAGGGTTTATGGAGACATCTAGATTTAAACTGTAAAAAAAAAATATCAAATATAATAGGATGCTATGTAAATAGTTGTTATACTGTATTGAGTAGGTACTAATACGAGAAGACTAATGGTCACAATTTATCAAACTATTTTTCAATGCATTGTTGATTGAATGTGTGGATATGGTGCCCACAGATACAGAGGAGTGACTGTAGTAAGCACCTACACATTCGTGTTTATTTAATACACAAGTTAGACACAATCTCCTTTAATGTAAACGAATCCAGAGCCCAGAGCCAGGCACAAGGGTGCAGGCCTGTAGTCCTAGCTGAGGAGGCTGAGGCAGGAGGATCATTTGAGCCCAAGTCTGCAAGACCAACCTAAGCAACATAGTGCAACTGCATCTCAAAAAAAGAAAAGAAAAAAGCAAAAGATTAGAACTCTAACAATTAGCTCACTCATCTCAGAGATTACAGGAGAGAGGAGAGATGGTTTTGAACAACAGAGGGACTTATGTCAGCTTTCCTTCCATTTCTAACCACAACATAGACTGGTATGTACAGCCAACTAGAGAACTTCTTCATGGTACTATTATAACATTTTTGCCATACACAGCGAGGACGCAGAGACAGGGTAGAAAAACAGCTAATTTAGTTCTGAACTATTTGAAACATGTAGTTTTAGAAGAAGTACAGAATATCATATGATAGCTTCAGTTAATTTGAAAGCATATATGACTAATTGTTTCTTTTCAGGGTCTGTGGCTTTGAAGAACATTTTCAAACATGTGACAAGTCAAAGGGATAAAAAAATCATAGAATAAAATGTGCTCGTAAGCATTCTGAATGAGTCTGAGAATGTAAGCGTTCATTTTAGTAAATTAAGGTTTAGAGTATACAGAATAACAGGCTACTGAAGAATATGGGCCAGAATCTAGCCCATCCCTATGCATTTAAAAAATATTGATATGTTAGGATTTGAATCTGTCATTTTTGTGTTTATATATTACTTTGTTTTTTCAGCTCTCTGTTTTCCTTTGTCTATCTTTTGTGTGTTACCTGAAAAATTTTCATATTCCATTTTGATTTATTTAGCATTTGTTTGGTATTTGTTGCCTGCTCAAATATTTTTATAGTGATTGTTCCACTTATTATATAATTCATACAGACATGGTCATAGTCTACTGTGTCAACATGTTTCTAGTTCATGTGAGGTATAGAACCTTACCACTTTTCAGTTCTTTGACTCTCCCATGTATATCTGTCTTAAGCATTTCTTCTATCTATATGTTTATCATAACAGATAATGTTATAAATTTTGCTTCAACCACCAGGCATAATTTAGGAACTCAAAAGAAGGAAAGTCTATTGTATTTATCCATATTTTCATTTTTCTGTTAATCTTTATTCCTTTTTGGAATTCTAAGATTTCTTCTTTTATCGTTTCTTTTATATCTCAAAATTTATTGTCACCATTCTTTTAAAAAAAGAGTAAGTCTGCTAATGAAAAGTTCTATTTCCCTTCATCTTGAAAATGTCCTGGCCTGGGATTTACCTCAGCTCACAGTAGAGAAAAACCATGTGCATATAAATAATGTGAGAAAACCTTTGGATGCCCCATATATCTTAAAGTACATAAAAGAATTCACAGTGGTGAGAATCATTATGTATGTCATGACTGTGGGAAAACATTTATTTATTCCAATTCCTTAATAGTGTACAAACAAGTTCACACTGGAGACACTCGTTATAAATGCAAGCAATTTGGGAAAGCCTTCAGAGTTTCCAGTCTTCTTAGACATGAAATGACTCAGGTCCAGGTATATAAGAAAAGAAGCAAAGCCTCCCATCATTCCCTACCTTTCAAGTACATGAAAGAATTCATACACAAGAGGAGCCACATAAAGCTAAGCAGTGTGGGAAAACTCGACATACATTCCAGTTCCCTTTAAGTACACATTGGAGAGATCTATAAGCAATGTGCTACTCTTCAATTTTTCAAGTACTCTTCTAATACATAAATGGATTTATAGTGGGTAAAAACCTTACTTACATGAGCAATACAGTAAAATCTTCCTTTGTTCCTCTAAGTATTGCAGATAAGAATTTACAGTACTCAGAAATCCTGTGTATGTAATCAATCGAAAAACCTCCAGATGTTCCAATTTCCTTCAAAAAACATGAAAACATTCAGAGAAGATCTTACGTACATAAAAAAGCCTTAGCTCATTCTACCTCTCTGAATACATTCCACTTGTGTTCAATACATGAAAAGAAATGCTAAATATAGAATGGCAAAACCTTCATTACTGCATCTTCTGTCTACAATGTGTGAGCATGAATAGTGGAGAGAATTGGCATTATTGTAAGGGATGGGGAACTTATTCATCTTGCTTCTATGCACAGATCTAAATGAATAAGTATGTAAAGAAATCCCATAAGTATATTACTTTTTCAAAAGACTTTACTTGGCCCACATGAAAGAATTAACACTGGATAAAATTCTCTGCATGTCAAAAATATCAGTTGGCAGTTACTACAGATACTGTCCAAGACCACTGAAAATCCATCCCATGAAATTCTATGAATGTAAGTAATACATTGTAGAGAGAATGATGTAATGTAACTTGAGTAAGATGCAGCAGAAGATACCCCAGTTGAAGGAGAGGGAAAAGATATCCATTGTCCTTGTCAGTTGCTCCTTGTTAAAGTTCATCTCTGCATCATGGATATTTTACTCCTGAAAATAAACATAAAAATTTTTGCTAAGTATTATTTAAGCAACAGTACATGAGTTGTGTATAGATTCCCCTCCCCCCTGTGCTGGAGATTGAACCCAGGGGCTTCTACATCTTCTCTACATCTGTAATCATACATAACATTTACTATCCTTGTATACTAATGTATTTTGATATATATATTTGTGTTTTAATCATATTTATAAAGGTGTATGTAATTTTGACACAAGATCTTGCTAAATTGACCAAGCCAACCCAAAACTTTTGATCCTCCTCTTCCCTTTTCCCAGAGTTGGGCTTATAGTCATGTGCTACTGTGTCCAGCGTGGTGTAGGAAATTTTATTTTCCTCAAATTACTCAGTGATACAAGGATTATTCTATCAATGCCACAAGGCAAGCTTGTCCACTTTTCTTCCAGTTCTTAGGATTGAACCCAGTGTCTCTCACATGCCTAGAAGAGGCTCTTCCAACCCACACTGTTGGCATTTTTATTTCTATTTCGAGACATTTTCACTTAGTTCTCCAGGTTGACAGTGAACTGTTTCTTCTGCCTCAGCACCTTGATTACCTTGGATTACAGGCATGCTCCATGACACTGAAAAGTCTGTGTATGTTTCTTATTATACATAATCCATCTTTTTTAATAGAAAAAGATGAGTTTTCTGTATGACAGTTTAGGCACTGCATATGTCTGTGATGGGCCATGTGTTCAATCTCAAGCAGGACAAAGCATCCAAATGCAACTTTTGGCTGCATGTTTTGCTGTTCAATTTTCCTTCAAGCATTTATCTGTTCTTTTAGCTAATTTCCAAACTAAATATTACAAATGATGTGTGAAAAGTCAAGTTTATGATTTTGGCAAATTTTTATTTGTTATTATGAGTAAGTCTTCCCATGTAATTGTTCCTACTAAGTGGTTATGTTTTTTGCTCAGAAATTTTGATCATATTTTCTCTTTTACAACACATACTACAAAATAATGCTTGTGTGAAATCCTTACCAAAGACCACCAGGACCATCCCCTTTATCACATATGATGGGATGCACTAATCTATCCACAAAGCAAAACTGACTTTCAGAAAGAGCATTTGCTATAGAATTTTTACACCACTGGCATTGGTTTTAACAAGATCAATACTTCTCCTTCACATCATGAAAAAATTAACATAGCACTTATCTCTGTCACAGTGAAGCATTAGTTTTTGAAAATGAAAGACATTGCCTCCTAGATGTATGTCATTTTCTTATCATTGTAACTTCACAAAATCAAACCATCAGAAATTGATCATCTTTGTCTTTAGCTCTGATACTTTGACAATCTCTATGCATCTAATGAGTGCAATATCTTTAGGTAAAATGTGAAAGTAGAAATACAGGGTGGGATGGAGTACTATGCCTATTTCAGTTAAGCTTTCAAAACTTAAAAAATAAGGTTTTGATGATAATTTTGGAATGTACTTGTGCCAGCATTGTAAGCCAAAAACATACAAAATTTAATATGAATCATCTTAGTCCTATGTGCTCTGAATCTAAAGATGTGAAAGTTGTGAGTCTAAATAAAGTTGAATTTTTGCAAACTAAAAAGTTTGTCTATAATGTGTCTTGGTAGGAATTTATTTGGACTTATACTATTTGGAACTTATGTAAATTGTTAAACTTATAGGTTTATATCTCTTCCAAAATTGGAATATTTCCCAGTCATTATTTGTTTGAATATTTTTTATTCTCTTTCTTTTTTTCTTTTCCTTCAAGGCCCAGTGATTTAGGTGTTAGATATTTTATTACGTGCCATAACCTGCACAGATCTTGAGATTCTTGGAGTGAAGGACCACAAGAGGATGAGAAAATAAAGAAGAGACAAAATCTGGGGGCAGGTGGAGCCCTTACTCTCCAATGGGAGGCTAGGAACTTCCCCCTTACAGTAGGTGCATTTATTTATACATTTAGCAACACAAAGTCATGTGGTACCCCTTTGCCTAGCAACCTATTGCTTAGATTGTCTTGGGGCTTGGTATTTTTCTGGGCTGAAGCAGCTTCTTCACGTGGCTTTCCCTGGGCACTCTTTGTTCTTCAATGGATCAGTTTCCAGCTTCAATGACTCCCTACAATTATGGATCCATTGGTAATTTAATTTTGGCGATCTATTTTTTTCTATTATCTATTTTTTTAATGAATGGATTAATGCCATTATTTCAGGATTCAGTTCTTTGTTTAAAAAGACTAAATAAAGGAGACATTTGGCCTCCTCATGCAAGCAGTTGTGTTTTCTTATCAGCCCTCTCTTTCCCTTTGTGGTTGTTGTTGTTGCTGTTGTTATTGTTGTTGTTGAGACAAGGTCTCACTATGCAGCTCAGGCTGGCCTTGAACTCATGATTACCGTGTTGTCTCAGTCTCTGAAGTGCTGAGGTGACAGGCATGCACCACCGTGCCTGGCTTTTGCTTTGTCTTTCTGCCATTTGGGGAGACAGCAAGAAGAACCTCACTGGAATCTGAGCCCTCTTACTGACTTCCTAACCTTCTGGACCATCAGCCAGTAGATTTCCATCTATCAGATTATTCTGTCAGTGGTCTTCCGTTATGGCAGTCAAGAACAGACCAAGACAACATCTGCTTATTGTTTTTTCTCATTTAAATTGAGATTTTCTTGGCTTTGGTATCATGAGTGACTTTTAGATTCTGTATTTGTGTATTATAAGGCTTGGATCTTATTTAATTCTCATCTGTCAGCAGGCTTTCTCTGAACCCTTACCAGCAGAAGAGGCAGAACTGCCTGGTTACTGCCAGCAGGGCAGAGATACAGATTCCCAGTTACCCGCACCCCTCCATCAAGAGAGGATGGTGCCTCACGGTCACTCTGTGAGGGTAGCAGTCAAGGTCCCCACCAGGCTTTTGTGAACAGGTTGGAGCCATATTGAACTGTCACAGCCCACATGGCTCTCAGATTTCTTAGGGTGAGGACTGTGAAGGGCGGCGTGAAGAAAGCTGGGATCTGCTAAAGCTCTCTCTCCTGATAGGAGAAAAGGAGCCCCTGAACCAATGCAGTGCATTTATTTACCCATTCAGCAAGTTAGTGTCACATGACACCGTGTTGCCTGCCAATCTGCACGCAAGGCAGCCTGAGGGCTTGGTGTTCTCTGGACTAGACCAGCTTGTTTAACTGGTCCTTGCCTCAGGGCCTCTTTGTTCACTCCACTCTTGTTTCGGACTGCACAGAGGAATGATCTCCAGCTTCAGCTTCTCCTTGTACAGCACTCAAATTTTCCTTGTAGTACTTGGCTGGAGTTAGGTGGTTACTACTAAAACTGTTCTATGTTACTAACTAATGCTTCCTTGGGTTTCTTCTTTTTGTTTGTTTGTTTGGTGTCTGTGCCCACTAGTGTTCTGTCTTATAGTCTTCTTCTGCACCCAGCACAGAATATATAAGGCAAAGAAAAAAAAAATCCCAGGGAACTCAATGCCAGGTTGTTTTTAAGAGTCTAAAAACCCTGACTGGTCTGTACATTTACTTTTACCTTTCAGAATATTCTTCTATTTGTTCTACATGTAATGTCCATGGGGCTTAGCTAGTCCTAGAGGGAGGAGTACGGAGCAATGCATCTGTTCCACCTTCTAGCTGTATTACTTTAGCCTTTTTGACACACCTTTAGCCTTTTTGACACATACCTAACCACAAGCTCCTGAAGGTTCTTTAACACCGATATGTGGATTTCTGATTCTATCAACTAAATTCTAGTTGTTTTTTCTACTGATATTAATTAATAATTTAATTAAGTAATTAATAATTAATTTTTTCAATTACTAAAGGTATTAATTTAGAAAGAAATCTATGTTGATAGACTTACCTTGATATAATTTGCCTTCATTCAAATTAGATTTCACCAGAATGCTTTTGGTCAAATTTCTTTCCTTATAAAAATCAAATATAATTCTTCAGCCTCAATTTTTGTCCCTAACCTCATGAATAAGAGCTTTTTCTTATTGGATGAACTAGCTTCAGAAGTTTTCTTTGGGATAAGAGATGAACCTGCTTTCTTTGTTGTCAAAGTTCATTTCCTATAGGAGACTCATTTACAGACTTTACTTGTCAGGTGTGGTGGTTGAATAAATTTTAGAGTAGTCCAAATTCCTTTTCCAGGGAGTTTATACTTTAATATCAATGACATAGGTCCTGAAGTAGCTCAGGAAAGGACCTAGAACAGCAATGGCGAATGTTGAGAGCTTTTGGTGATACAAACAGCCTGCTGAGGCATGTGTGCCATGGTTCCTCCTCACTGCCCTGGAATGTGTCTGCACCGGGCCTCTCCAGTGGTAAGAGCCACACTAAATGATGATAGGGCTAGGCAACATCAGGGGGAGGAAGGGAAAGGGGTGCTGGAAGGAGCGAGGGAATAGTCACGTGATCAAATTCTGAAAAGCTAAAGAAAGGAGACCACCATAGATGACATATTCCTAAACTGGGTGAGACAGTGCCTGCCTGCTATCTTCACACTCAGGAGGATCACTGCAAGTTTAAGACCAGCTTGGGCTACAAAGTGAGTTCATAGCCAATTGAACTGCACAGCAAGACTCTGTCTCAAAAAGACCTAAATAAATAAAGGAGAAATATTTCTGAAAGCTAGTTTTAGCATGATTGACTTTGCCCAGCAGGTCAGACAAAGTCAAATATTTTCTTCTCTACCATGATATACAGATAAATTATGACAGGAATTGCAAGACTAGATGTCTCTAGTGGCCAGATCATGACAGGATTGCAAAAATGTTTCTCTTTGTTTTTAAACGTACAGTTTTAAACCCAGCAACTCTAGCATGATTACAATGAACAGAACCCCTGCAAGGCTTATCTCACTAGTAATGATAAATTCCTTTCAGTAGTCCAGAAGTCTAGAAAATCTCTGCAATTATATCTCTAATCTAATCTCCTGCTGCGCGCCAGACTCCACGAGACCTCTGTCTGCTGATGGAAGACAAAGGGTGGGAACGTGCCCTGTGTCTCTGGCTAGA